GTCTGCTTCTGTCTCCTTGAACCCCAGTGGGCCTCAGCAGATGGCCGCTCACACTGAGCCTGGTTCTGCTGGAGGTTTCTTCCTGTTAAGCAGGGCATACACTGTGCCATTTTTTCAATCATTGCATGCAGCTACAGCTCACACTGTATGACGAAACCACAGAGGTTTGTCATACAGCGACATCACAGCTTGCGATGTCTGTACAGCACGACGCTCACCTGCTACCTGCTCACACTGTGTGTCTAAAAGCTAGGTAAGATGGCGCTACTCGGTCTATCCGGAAGCTAAACCAGTAGAAGAAGAATATGAAGCTCACTAAAGTGAAATGCGCTGCCTTGGCAATTTGGGCTGTTTTTGGGCAATTTGGGCAAAAAAAGGCAACAACGTATTTGGACAAAGACATGGCTGAGCAAATGTGGCTACTAAGGTCTGTCAATTTTACAGAAAGAACTCCATTTCACTCATTGCACCCCCGCCATGCTTCTGAGTTTTCACCTGAGAGGAAGAAGAAGAAGAAGAAGAAGAAGAATCCTTGTTTGCCCACTGAGCGATTTGCCTACTACGGCTGGGAGAAAATCAAACACATACGACCCATGATCAGGCGGAAAGTCGCACAGTGTATGTCTGTCTTTGAAAGGGAGTTTTTCCTCTCCACTGTCGCTACAAGCATGCTTAGTGTGAGAGATTGCTGAAGAGGCAATGAGTCGATGCAATCAGCTGGTTTTCCTTAGATAGAAATATGACTGGATGATCTGGTGAACTGTAAAGTGCCTTGAGATTGGGGGGGTCAGTGACGTGACAGTTTTTTCCAGGGTGAAATGTCATTAGTAAAGTGCTGTCAAATGTAGAAGCTTGGGAAATGATGCATTAGTTGTGATTGCTCAGCTCTTCTGCTGCCGGATCAGAACCTCCTCAGCGGGGAATCACTGTGACCGCAGCCCGCAGGGCGGTTCGGCGGAGCCGCCGCGGCCCGGTTTATGTCACTGACTAGCAGCTTATGTCAGACACACCGATGTGATGTTTGAGTCCAGCGACAACAAGGAGGGGGTGGGGTGACAAGAAACTGAAGCAACAAGAAGAGCCCGACCAATGATGTCATGGGGTACGGATCACCGAATACCGACCACCCCAGACTTCACTTAAAAAATCAGCCATTTAATATCATCAGCAGCAGCATTTGCTCCTTCTGTGGTCGCGGGAAAAAGAGGATGGACGCGGTTAAAACAGGACGTTCCCTATGTAGAAACAAGCCGAACATACAGGCTGGTTCACAGGAGAAGATCCAGCTATAGATTTCGGTGCCATCCATAACGAACCGTCCGGAACCAGCACAAAAACACCAGACCCACAGGTTTTCAAAGGGATTCGGTGTGGGATGGTTTAATATGATCTGTGTCGCTGAAATCTCAGCATTAGCTGCACATTAAGTCACATTTAACGCTTCACCCGCACACCGGGTCGGCCCACATTCAGGAACTCACCGGTACCGGAGCAGGAGAGACGTGCCCCCGCCGTGCCAGGCGCCACACAGCCCGAGGGAGATCCACAGCTTCACCACCGAGGTGAGGTTTCAGCTGAGGCTGGGGTGCTGAGAACCGCTGCTGACTGGTGACAGGCTGACCGGAATTACACCGAACTTCCGGCTCACACCTTCAAAATAAAGCACTCTTTGTTTTAAACTACACTACAATTAATAAAGTTCGCTCGAGTCAAAGGGGCAGGAAGATAATCACTAATGGATCGGAGCCAAAGCAGCATAACGGAGGTGGATTCGCTTTCACTACGCAAGCAACGTTACTGCAACTTCTTTTATTTTGAAAAACTAAAATGTTTTACTTCCGGCATTGAGGCTAACCGAACAGCTGTGAGGTTTTTAGTCAGGATTGTCAAGCATGGCCATTTTTTTTCCTTTATCTAATTATTACTGTTTAAATTCATAGTTGGAATAATGAAACGGCTTAAATAATTTTCAAAATAAAATGTCTGGAATAGTTCTTTTTGTTAAGTAGAAGCCTCAGAAATACGTATATATGTCATAATCTCACAACTCAAATCTAAAACATTCCAACCATTAAACCATTTTAATGAGTCAAGAAATCCTATATAAAGAGAAAAAATGTATAAATATCAATCTCAATATCTAGAGCTTAATCGTTTAGAAAAACCAACAAGAAGCTGAAGATGAAAGAAAATAAAATTGGATCCAGAAATCTGGAGGATGAAAGCAGAGAAACAGTTTTAAACAGGAGGTTCTCCTCATCTGCTGCTGAGGTTTGCTGGAGAGCATGCAGTCCTCTGCAGAGATCGCACCCCAATGGAGCAGCAATGACATGGATGCATTTTAGGATTATCAACTAATAAGCTGTATATTATATTCGGTACATATCCAGGTGTAAATTTAGTTCATAACACTAGTGATCTATATATTATATTCATTATTTATAATAGTATTCATCTCTATACTGAATCAGTAGAAACCCATGTCCTGTATTTATGGAACCATTATTTATCCTGCACTTGCTGCTATTGCATTTCTGGTTAGACCTAAACTGCATTTGGTTGCCTTGTACCTGTACCTGTGTAATGACAATAAAGTTGAATCTAATCTAATCTAATGCTAAACCTGTTCATTTGGTGAACTGTATTTGTGAAAGGAGAAATCACAGCTGAATGAATAAAAGTAAAAATCAATGGTGTGTTTAGAGTCAGGAACCAAAGAGGAAGCAGACTGACTAAAGCTGGAAGATTAAAAATAGTTTCAGTGTCGGAGCCTGTAATCCCAGCCACAGGCCACTTCCAGTTCACAGAGCTGTCTGCTGGTCTGAGACACGCCGAAGGCTTAAGGTCTCCTTCAAAATGTGAAAGTCGAAACATAACTGGCTGAAATCGCAGCTTTAAAAAGCTAAACCAGATTCCTTTGGCTGACATGTCAGGTATAAAACACACTGGGACAGAACCAGTGGACCTGGTGGAAGCATGGATGTTCTCCTGGATAACAGCGTCTCTAAAGGTACGATTCTTCCTCCATCCACCCTCCCACCATCAGCCAGCTTCCTGCCGCCTCCATGGCAGCTCAGGTCAAGACTGCCGTCTCCCTCCAGAACCTCTCTGCTGCAGAAAAACATCCCCACAGCATGACGCTGCCCCCACCATGCTTCACAGCAGGAGGGTAGCTTTAGCCAGGTTTTTTTTCCCCCCCAGAAATTAGGTTTGGATTTCAGATCAGATGGTTCTGTTTGGTTTTATCAGACCACAGAGTTCTGTTTCTCCATCTCCAAGCGGCCAGAACCATCTGCTAATAAACTGAACTGCCTCATAAATAAGGTTGGATCTGGCTTTAAAAAGAAGACATTCCAGAACAGTCTGATTAAACCAGCTCAGCCTTCGGACTGGGAAAAAAACGACATTCCTGTTCTTGGGAACTTTTTGACAGTGTGTGTGGTCAAACAGTGGGTCGTGTAGGAAAGTTCCCCACTGAGTGAAATGACCTGGAAGTACATGAGTGTCACAGGGAGGACAGAAGCTCTTTGGATGCTTTAAATGTCGCAGTGAGGAGCTTCAGGGCTGCCTTTGTTATCTCCTGTCTGGCTCTGGAAACACTGGAGCATCTTTAAATGGAAGGAAACAGTTCAGTCCCTCTGGTAGTCAGAGCTGAACTGTTTTCTTCTTCAATGAGGCTGTCTTTAGGTTGTTTTTTTTTTAACAGGAAATAGAAAAAAGCAACCGAACCTGGGAGCAGATGAGAGAAACTAGAAAAAAATAATCCAAATAAACGGGTAAAAATGTGCAATGTCTGAATGGAAACTTAAAAACAAGGCAATCTAGAAATAAGATTTTTTTTTTCTTTACAGTAATAGATGTTTTTTTAAATCTGTCTTTCAGATTAAATTTACCAAATGCAATCTTTTCAAACTGTGTTTCAGGGATCACATTATCCTCACTTCAAGCCCCAAACCAATAAAAAATGTTGCTGGTTTTTGTACTTAAACTTTGAACAGGTGTAAAAAAAAATAATGCTTGTGAATTTTTTTTAATTCTACAATGACAAAACTTATAATTTAAGTCTCCCTGCAACTTTAAATTCACACTTACAAAGCAGGGAAGGGAAGAGAATGTAATCTGGAAAAAATGTAATTTGAAAATAATGCAATTGGTAAAACTCAACCTGAAAACAGGAAATCTTCAAAATGTGAAACCTGTGAAATATATATATATTTTTTTACATTCTAGGTAATAATTAGAAAGAAAAAAAATCAAAGAAAACTGCATCAGGTTGATCAGAGCAACGTCTGATAGTTGGCATATAGGGAGAGATATTGGCTCCAACATGGAGGAAAGAAGGAGCAGTGGGACTAATTAGCAAAGATGCAAGAATAACTGGAGACAATTGACTGGAATCTCTGTCGACATTTAAAGTTCCTTTTCAGAAATGACTAAAAAAGGTTCAACATTTTTAAGTTAAAGGGAAATCATATTTAAATGTCAAATCATTCTGGCTTAAACATGTATAAAAATATTATCAGACAATATTTTCCCAAAACTGAGAAAAATTCTGTTTAAAAAAAAATCATGTCTTGAAATCTGTGTTTTTTTCTTTGTTATCTTCTGCAGGCCAGTTAGTTCTACGTCAGCCTGAACACCTAAAGTCGGCCAATCGTATATCAACAGTCATCTGTCAATCAATGTTTTCGGTCATAGCATCT